CTTATAATCAGAATATTTCTTGATTATGATTGCATAATTTTTTGCATAACAACCATACGCTTGTTTCATAGCATTCTCTCTGCCGGCAACTACCGAAGTTTCGAATGGTATTATGATATCTGTGTTTAAGATGATTACAGATACCAGTCAAGCTGTAGATCCCAGTCTAAAAGCTATTGTGCCCTCAAGTTTATGAATAGTACGATTCCTCCAATAACCGATGAACTTTCCAGTGAGCGAAAATATCTCCTCTCTATTCCTGTACTGATCTCTCGCGTCGTTGTCACTTTGATTTTCTTGTCGAAATTTCACCTGGCTAAGAGAAATCCAGTCAACAGACGTTTTTACATCTGGTGGGATAATTTTACAACTTTAAAAAGGAAAAAATTTTTTGCTGAATCATACCTGAGGTGTTAACCAACCGATGATGATTGGGCATAAGATGCCGGCAATACATGATACTGTTTGACCGGTTCCGAGTAGCGGTCCGGCGAAAGTAGGCGCAATGTCCAGATAATTCACCACGAATCCAGCATAGGACGCTCCCGAAAGGCCAATTCCGAGCGTCAAGAAAACAATCACCAGAGCCTGTTGACCACATCCACAAAAACCGCACGCCACCAGGAAAACGGCTTGACTTCCAAGAGCTGAATAGCCGTAAGGCGTAATCAGTTTTGTTTTTTTTTGAACATTTGCAAGCTCACCACACCAAACATGCTCTAATCAGTTTGGCTAATCCAATTGCGTCCAAAACTCATTAATTGCTCACAATCAGTTGGAATTTTCAAGCATATGTAGATTTCCTGTGGCTTCAATTGCGAAATGAACTCACCAACCATATTACGACTGGATGGTCACCGAGTAGATGAATTCACTACAGACTGTCTTCCAAAATTTTGATTACACTTTTACCATTATATTCAACATAACCGTATGGAAGCAATGCATTCGGAAGTGGGATCAAAAGTATGAAATGTGAACAATACGTTCATTCGTTTATAAGTTGCAATTAATCGCCACTATAA